GCTTTCTCAGTGTTACTGAAGGCAATTTCATTTTACAAGTGGGTTTTTTTGCTGTTTGGCTTTGCTGTGTGTTTTAAGTGGGATTTCTGGTATCTCTCAAGAAAGGAAAAAAAAAATATTTGCTTCATTGTGAAAGGATTAGGAAGTATGGACAGCTGAATTAGCTGAGATGTTGTGCAATATTAAAGCAGCATATATTCAATGTCATACAATAAAAACTTAATAACAAAAGCTCTCAAAAACAGACTATGAGACTATTTTTCCTTGTATATCCTGATCCCCACTGGCAGGTGAGTGGATGAAAAAGCTATACTGGACACTATTCCACCTAGGAAAAATGCTGGATAAACACCTGTTGTGTAAAGCCCCTTTCTGTTTATCCACTGACATCTGAGCAAATCTGAGTCTCTAATTACTGTGACATTTCTGCCTAAATGTTGCTCTCAAATCCCAGCCTGGTGCTGCACTTTGGACAGTTATTACCAACACTCTCATTAATACAGAGGTTATATGAAGACAAATCCCTGTTATAACTGATACTGATCCTCAAACATTTGTGAGACCCATCAGTTTGTGGTGCAATCTGGGCAAAGGAGCCCTTTGGGTGCAGGATCTTACCTGGGTGAGGCTGGTCCAGGTGACCTCCAGAAGGGTCTGTTCCAGCCCAAACTATCCCATGAGGTGATGTCCACCAGGATCTCTCTATCCAAGCATCAGCACTGAGCTGCCTGTCCTGACCACCACAATGTATTCCAGCAACAAGGCACACCTGGGAGGCAGGAGATCAGCCCCAGCTGCCCTGGGCAATGAAAAATGATGCTTCATCACAGCATGAGTGCAAACAAACAGCAACAGGGGCTCTTTGTTAGCACCCCCCAAACCAAGGAGTGGAAATACTGATAGGGCTTAATTTGGAGTGGAAATTAGTGGGGTGGAATTTAAATTTCACAGCTTTTTAGGAAAAAATGGTTAAACAATGCACAACAGCAACAGTCTGTGACAGACATGTGGGGTGCTCTGAGTGTGTGCTCATTTCTAGTGTTTGCTGGGAGCCACATCTCTGCACAGAAACAGCATATTGTGAGTCTAAAAGGAACCTTTAAAATGAACGCCTAGTTGATTTTAAGAAGCACCATAACAAGGGGATTTTATCCTGTTGGAAATATTATGAAACAGAATTCTTTGAGGCCTGCAGGAAATACTTGAGAGTAATTTGCACAGCCCAAAAAATTAGCACAAAGATGAAAAAAGGCACTTTAAAGCAAGCCCTAAAGCCAGCTCCCTCAGGTGGGCTCTTTCAGGCATGTTGGGTACGACTTACAGAAAAACTCACCAGCCAAGAGACTCACAATGGCTTAAGGAAGAAAGAGCAGCTGATTATTATTGTCAAAAAGTTCAGTGTTTCTCTGTGAAATCTCCATTTCTTTTGGCTGCAGTTCATTCCACTGAATAAAAACGTTTTCCTTTTTCTAATTCATTTGAACTTTTGGCACTTACACTGCAGTTCATTGGCCAGCTTTTGGTGGCTGCCCTGCTCTCTGCAGTTCTTATTGTTGGGTAGTTCAGGTCATATTATTTCACACGAGCCAATATTAATGGCTGTGACTGTTCCCAGTGCTCACACAGACATCTATCAAGTAGACAAGCCCCTAATTCTGTGAATATCTCCTCTCCCAACCAATAGGCTTTGTTAAAACAGGGTTATACAGTGAAATGAATAGAAGGAGACTGTATAGTGAGCAGCTAAAATTAGTACTAAGGGAGTTGCAGAGCCCCGTGGGTCAGGAATGAGCCATGGCCCAGCTGGTGACAGCAAACTTGCCCTTCACCTGCCTCTAGGAAAGGACAAGAGCTGAGCATATCTGGGAAACTATTCATCTTCTCTGAAACTTGCACCTTGGCTCTGCTGCAAAGAGCACACCACCGTACAGCCCTACAGCAAATTAAAGGATGTGTTTCCAAGTAAATTAGGAAAACAATTTGTTTCCAAGAAAGAGATGAATTACAACTTAATTAAAACAACATAAGGAGGCTGGAGAAGGAAGGATGAATTCAGATCAGTCCTAAGGGAGCTCCACAGTCCTTGCAGCACGCTGAAAGACAACACCCAGGTGTCATACAGCAGCAGCACAAGAATTTCCATCAGCCATTCCCGGGGGGCACAGCTCTCCTCAGGTAGATGGTTTCACAAATATATACCTTTTTACCACAGCATACAGAAATCACTCACTGCAAAGTCAGCTTGTACTTAGAAACAAGAAGGGACAGAGATTGAATGGGAACACAGCAGCAGCCAGCTCCTGGGAGATGGGAAGTGGCAGCAGAGGGAACAGGACGTGCCCCCAGCATGGCATGGAAGGCACCCCCGACCCCCAGCCCAGCAGCCAAGGGGGTGTCTGAGCACACTGTCCATGCTGGAGGCAGGCAGTGCTCTTGGGAAGTGGATAAAGGCAAGGAGAGTGTTACCCTTCAGCAGTGTACAATCTTTCGAAGAATGTGTTTACCAACAGCTTTTCAATAGCAAAGAACCCTCAGTAATTAACAACCCAGTTTTATGGCCAACAAAAAAAAAAAAAAAGAGTAAGAATCAGCTTTCCTTGTTCTGCACTTCTCCAGTGAGGAAAGGCTGAGAGAATTGTGTTTGTGGAAAAGAAAAGGCTTTCCTTTGGGGCCTTCCAGTAACCTTCAGGAAAGTACTGGAAAGAAGGCTGGAGAGGGACTGTGGACAAAGACACATAGTGACAGGACAAGGGGGAATGGATTAAAACTAAAAGAGAGTAGGTTTAGATGGGATATTGAGAAGAAATTATTCCCTGTGAGGGTGGGGAAGCCCTGACACAGGTTGCCCAGAGATGCCCCATCCCTGTAGGTGTTCAAGGCCAGGTTGGATGGGGCTTGGAGCAACCTGGGATAGGGGAAGGTGTCCCTGCCCATGGCAGGGGGTGGAACTGGATCACTTTTCAGGTCCTTTCGAACCAAAACCATTCTGTGGTTCTGTGATCTCCTTTAAATCTCATTGCAGCAAAATGACTCAAACATCACCAGGACATTCTTGCTGTTGGATACACTTTAAATAAAATCAGCAAGGCTCCCCAGATATTACCTCGTATTTCCCTGGGATCCCAAAGCCAGAGCATTAAAATAATGAAATAAAAAATTATGAGAGTAGAACCAGCTTCCTGATGGGAAAGAATAAATCACTGTCTGTGCCTTTCTCTTGTGTCTGACCCAGGGCTCAGGTCTAAATAGCAAAGCCTCTGAGCGTGTTCCCAGGAGAGACTCAACCAGCTTCTAATTACATGTGCTAGAAGTGGGTGGTAACTTTACTAGGAGCTGGTAACTGAGCTGTCTGCCCACGGGACTGGAGCAATTTCCATCTCAGCCTCACTTTCTAATGCTGGATTCTGGGAAGAGAGCCTAGTCCTCGAGTGCTTTTTGTTGTGATTTCAGCAGTGCTGATTTGAATGCTCCCTAGGGTCTGATACTCTGGGAAAAGCCTGCTTTCCTTTCCCATTTCCAGTCACACAGCCCGGCAGCAGCCAGTGTCCAGCTGCTGTTGGGCTTGGACAGGTCAGTAAGGCTGGGTCAGTAAAGGTGCTCCCACAGGCTTTGTTTCCTCTCTGCTTTAGCTCCCTGACTTATTCCCAAGAACATGGTGTTTTCCCATATACCTCCTCTGTTGAAAAGAATATACTGAATCCTTTGTGTTCACCCTTCCACTCCCAAACCCAAGTGGTTTTTTTTAATGTAGATTACTGTGTTATATTATATCTGGAGGTAGAGCACCAGCCCCACTCCTCAGAAAGCTTTCCTGTTTTCTGTTCTCACCCTGCCATTCCTCTGGCCCACTCTGCTGAGCTGTACAGCACAACACGTCCTTCTCTGCCCCTTCCAAAGCTCTGCTTGCCTCTGTGTCTGTGTGAAGCACACAATTCCTCTCTGGATCTGTAGAAGCTCATTGCTGTGTGTTGCTGAGCTGTCCCTCTCGGTTCTGTGCTATGTTTGGGAAGGGGTTTGTCTCAGTGTGGTGTGTTCCCAGTGCTGGGGTGGATTGCACTGACTGGGTCCAGTTTTCAAACCCTGTGAGCACATAAATACTGCTCTGCTTCCACGAATTTCAAGGATATTTCCTGAGGGTGACCATCCATCCAGCTGATGCCTCTTTGCAGTGCTCCTTTGCCTTTTCCTGTCACAGCTGTGGAAAATACTCTGAGCCAGACACTATCACACATTCAAAACCTTGTGATTCAGTTCATGCAATATTTTGATCACCTGTTTTGAGTGCCAGGCTGTGGCAGAGGTAAGGGCAGTCCTAAGGGAGAGCCTGGAAGCTTTCCAGGCTGGTGATTTCTGTTGCCTGGATCCAGTGCAGATGTTGTACAGAGCTGCTGTGACCTTTCTGCTGCTGAGCTGTGGCCCTGCAGAGCCCTCCAGGGCTGAGCAGCCCTTCCTCCCCCCTGTGCAGCTGAACCAAACTGCCCCTGCAGCCAAGGCACAGCAGAGAATTTATTGACTGCCTCTGGAATTAGGCAATTCTCTTAATTGTCTTCATTTTCCAGGACTCTGTCATTCTTTCCCTGCACCACTGGTGGCACAGCTATTTCTGTGCCAGCATGAGCTGCCTGGGAAAAAAAAAAAAAAAAAGCTAAAAATTGAACAGCAAATCAATCCAAGACAAGGACAGATACCTCTGAAGCATAATTGCATTCAGATATCCTGGGGAGCCCTTACAAGTCCCTTTCCAGCTTCCACAGCTCTTTTCCCTCTTGTGGCTTTGCTCTGAGGAACCTCTATTAAGCAACAAGACATTGCTAAACAGTGCCAGCAGTGAGTAAAAGGGTTTCTTTTTTTTTTCCATGATTTTCCTCCTCAGTGTTCTCCAGCCACACCAAACTCCAAAGCAAGAACTTTTTGCATTACTTTTTTTTTATTTCTAAGGGTCAAAATGGTGAGGGTGGCTCTGCTTTTATCACCTACAGAGCACCTTAAAGAGCACGAGGACATTGGTGGGTTCTTTTATTTAGCTGTGGGGGGTTTTTTTCCTTTTCTTTGCAGCCTGGATGTTCATCCCTGTGCCATTTCCCACAATGAACTCGGGGTCTGAACTTGGATATGTTTTAAGTAAATGAGGTGGGAGTCATTAATTGTGAGTTGTTGTCTACACAGAGCTCCTAGACAAGAAAGTCACCCAATAGTTTTAATACATTGAACTCATGACACTCAGTGTACACATAATGTGTTATTTACATATCCATATCCATACTTACTTGAAGTCTGTGGTATCACAAATGCATTCAAAACTGTTATATTTCTGCTTCAATATCTCTTTGGTTAGAAAAAAAAAATTAGTAACTTCCATAAGGAGGATTTATTGCCTCTTTTCAGCGAGGTGGTTGTAGCACAGTTGTGATCCCCCAAAAATACAGTGCTAGAGTATAGTACACATTTTGTAAAAAAACCTGATATCTGGGGGTGAACAGTCCTCTGGCAGTTTTGGGATCCCATCCAGCATTTTCAGATTTGGCAAACTGGAGAATACACTTAAAAGAGAGACAAAAGAAAAATAGAAATTGAGATAAATAACCTTGGGAAATGTTGAGAACAAAATAGACACTTCTAAAAAAAACCCAGTGGATTCAAACACACCTAAAATGGATTTGTGTTGCTGGAAATCTTGATTTGCCATTTCTTGCAGAATTTACCTGATAAAAAGCTAATTAGAAATTCTCAGGTTTCACTCTGTTGCACAAGTTTTATATCCTCGGATTGAGTGAAGCACTTCAAGTATCTGTCTGCCAACACTGGCAGTGAAAGTAATACCAGAATTTAATACCAAATAATACCAGTATTTAATTGCCTTAAAACTGGCAGGAGTGGGAGAAGAAACACAATTAGTAATTATTAAAAAGTGCTTTTCTGCTTTTGTTCTCCTGGACCCTTTGATATGCAAATAAAATATGAAATCCATCATTTTAAATTTATGTTTTGCTGATATCTGCCTTCCCACCTTTAAAAAGCATAAGCATCACCATCCCACTGCCAAGGGGATGCCTGGAAGACTAAAGGAAAAACAAACTGGAAACCCAGAAAGGTTTTCACTAAACACTTTCTTTTAAACTTCTCCTGTCTTTTATTCCCCTTCCAGGATGAGGTGGGAAGAGATGTATCCCATCCTAGACATGCTGTAAGGTTTATCTTTAATATATCAACAGTGCCTTCTGCAGATGGCTGACATGGCTGTGTGCAGTGAGGAAAAACTCTCAACCACACACATTTCTGGAGAGAGGAGCTTAAAATAAGTTATCTTCTCCTAAATTCTTTATCTTTGTATTTAAATTTCCATTGCCAGTGCCTGAGGGAGCTCTGTTAAGTCTGTGTTGCAACACGACCTACACTGAGTGGGGTGCTCAAGGCAGAGCATCTTCCCCAGCGCTGCCAGGAACGGGAGAGACTCCAGAAAAAATCAAATGAAGGGAACTCAATTTTCTCTTGCTTTTGCTCTCATCTTTCAAGGCATCCTCCTGATTCCATCTCTGACATGTAATGCAATTTTAGACTCCTTGCAGAACACACGAGGGATGCAATGAGACTGAAGAGAGTTTGAGTAATAGGTAGTTTCTATTAATAAAAGGAAATCTAATTTGTCTGCCCTACTCACTGTCTCTAAACTTGATCCATGGACTTAGTTCAGTTCCAGAACTGCCAGTCATGTGATTAGAAAGCCTCCTAGGCAGCTTCTGAATATTTTGGGGCTTTTATCAGATACTGGCTCACCAGCCCATGGTCCTGGAGCAATTTGGATAGTTGAAACTAGAGGAAAATAAAAAAGATTCTTCTAGAAAGCTTGTTGTATTTGAGATCCTATTCCTTTTAAGCTGTCTCACAAACATTTCTTTGTGTTTATCAACTTCTGTTAGCTTTAGACTTACAGTTGTCTGTATTTTTCTTGGAACTCACAGGGATTCCTCTTGAGAATGAGGGACTCGAGCGGAGTGTGTCTGAAATCTGATATTCCACTTAGTGTCATAATGTTATTTTCAGCCAGAGATAAGTGCTGAATCTGAGGGATCTTTGGCAGCTGTTTGAAGGATCTAAAGTGGTTTTTATTGACATTTAATTCTCTGCATCTGTAAAGTATAAATTGTATGCCATCACTATCACATCTGTGACAGAATATACCTGTAAGCCAACACAGGGGGGGATTTTATACACTAGTTTTACATTTGTGCCATTTTTGCCTACCCATGGACATCAAGATCAGATCCCTACACTTCAAACTCTCAGTTTGCTTTATATTGCACAGTGGATGCACCACTATTCCAGTTCTCAGTATCACAACTCTCCATACACTCACACACAGAGCAGCAGATGGATTGTAAAATACAGTTGTCATGGTCATGCTTGGCCTCTGCTTGGCTTCTGTTCCACCATCTCTTCATGGAGATTCCTTCAGTGTGCAACAGCTTTCTTTTTTTGGCACAAATCTCCCTGAACTTCACAAGACTCATTAATTGTTCCCCAGGAGTGAAGGGGTCATCATCTGATCTCCTCACTGAGTATTTTCAGCTTGGGATGACAAGAACTCAGAACTACAATATACTGATAGATTTTCAATACAACACTCCCCCCCAAAAAGCATATTTGGTGGTTCTCAAGAGTCTGCTCCAGCTATTACCTAAGTAAGTAATAATTTTGATTTCTATGATATTGCATAAAAATAGAAATAGGACATTTTGTCTACCTTGGCAACCTTATGGCACTGAGGTCTGTCAAAGAATTGTCCACCAACCAAAGCTTTTCCACCCGAATTAATCTTCGGAGAATCCTCTTGAAGTTTTCCACCTGGTAAACATCACCCAGGTCCTGGAATGAAAGGTTCAGCTCCTGGGAAGGGAAAAAAATAAGATAAATCACTCATTTTTTTTCTTTTTTTTTTTTTCTTGCTTTCTAATAACTATTCATCAAATATTTTTATTGCCAGAATTAGTTAAAAGGTTTTATCTATTTTATGATGCTGCTCTTATAACAATTGGTGGTGCCAGTTGCCAAATTCACCTCAGAGCTGTAGTGATGGACTCCATAATTCTTTGGAAGTAATGAAAGAAATTATCCTTTAAGCATGAATTTTACTGTCCCACTCTTTGAGTGGGGAGGCCAGAGTGTGTGCACTGGGTGGGGAAAGCAGGACTAAGTGGTTGTGGCTTATTGGTTTGGCTTCTAAACTCATCTGAAACAAAGGTGTTGTCTATCAGCCAGATATTAATGTTGATAGAATCACCATGGAATGGTGTAGGTTGGAAGGGTCATGCAGTTCCAACCCCTGCTGTGGGCAGAGACACCTTCCACTAGATCAGGTTTCTCAAATCAAACCCTGTCACAACACAGAATTTTTTATCTTTTGGGTCACAACCTAAATAACATTATATTCCAGTCCTTCTTCCCTTGTAAACCCCTTCTGGTTTACAATGTCAAGGTGCCAACCTGAGCTTTAAACCTGCTCACTGCAGGGAGCAGCCAGCATGTTATTATTTGGCTTGTTTACAACCAGAGTACAAAATGGTAATGAGAAAGTTTTACAGCACAGTTTTCCCAGTTCTCTTGCAGCCTCTTCTCCCATTTCTCTGTGTCAGTTACTTGTTTTCTTTTTTTCAAAGTATGTTCTTCTCTTCTGAAAAACAGCTCTTCTTCTGGGGGCCCTGGTCAGAGAAAAAAATTTATAACAGTGGATGTGATATGGAACTGGCACTTAGTTACCTGCTGAAAGATTATATATGTGGCTGGGAAGAGATCTGTAATGAAGAAATATATATAATATTACAGGTGTGTAGGTTTCCAGGCTTCTAAAATATAAATTAATGTGAAGATATTTCTACCATTTCCTGGCCCATAATTCAACAAGCAATCCGAGGTCCTGATGATTTGGTACGTGGTTGCTAAATGGCAGTTCTTCTACAGGTCAGAATAAAATAAAGCTATTTTTAAATGGATGTTCAAAAGGACCTGAGCTCTAAAATCCTGTTTCTATAAGTTCCTTCACATGCTCTGAGTTAGCCTTTAGTTGTTCTGAGAAAGGAAGGTGTTTGCAACTTCCACTGACAACAATGGGGTCAATGACTGTACCCAAAACCTCATTTGTATTAAGAAGAACACACACTGAACACTTAAATTCTTAAGGTTTACTGAAATGTCTAGAGCTATGGACATCTTCAAACTCCTAACTAAAGCAAGGACAGGGTGGAAATTTTCCACTGTTTAGTCCCAAACTTGCAAATACTGGATTTTGAAATCCATCTTTCATTCCTGAGTGTGTTTGTAGATCGTAATGGAGCCAATTCAGCCTTAAAACACAATATATGTGCCACTGTTTGCAGGACTGGATTTCCCTCTTGGTTTCTTGTTTGGCATATGGCTACTGCATTCTGAGCAACATTTAAATGTTAATGAGCTTTTGAGAGAAGTAATCAACACCATATTAATACTAAATATTTTCAATTTGCCGTTCTGGCAGTTGTTTCCCATTTTTTGAAATGACAAAGGATAACTTTTTTAGCGATTAAAAAAAAGCACATCTGTACAACATGGGATAAAATCCTGCCCCTTTTCAAGAGAATGGCAAACTCCATGATTTCAGGTCATAACATTTTAGGCATGTAGGTTTTGAGCAAATTGAGTTAAGGCTTAAATGTGAACATGTCTTTTTGATCTTCACCTTCTCTCACTCGGGGACAGCGGAGCTGATTTCCTCGAACATCGTGTTCCTCTATGTCACACCAGCCAAGGTACTTGAAGGAGTCAGAAGGAAGCTTAAAAAAAAAAAGCAAAATAAAGACATAAAAGAATCAGTAAAAGTTCTTCAGTTCCTGACATTGTATTTTCTCATATTTCTGGCCTTATTGCAGCAGAAATCCCTCCAGTTAGAGCCAAGCCCAGAAGCTGGTAAATGCTGTGAGAATTCACAGTTCAGTATAGTTTGCCACAGATCATTCTGGTTTACTTCTACAAATTGGCTCAAATATTGGAGAAGCCTTTCCAGGGCTTATTATCCCCTTGCCCATCACCTCCAGTTTGGTACAGAGTGCTCAGAGGCCGAGTCAAACCCCTTTCCCAGCTGACACCACAGCACAGAATCTTATTTATAATCTGCCCCAGCTTCGGAAGATAAGAGGAGGTGACAGGATCAGCCCCAAAGCTGAGGAAGAGATTTCTGCCTTAGCTATTCTTTGTCATGTCTCTCTTCTATAAACCTGTGCTTGGACTGGTAAAGCCAAACACTTACTGGGGAAGGCAGCCCAGAGTCACAGCTCGGCCTGATGATTCCTCTGCCTTGTGATAAACCCGGTGGGATTGGGTGTGTGTCCCTCAGGATGGAGCAGCAGGATGGATAGGATTTACTGAACTTTTCATTGCTTGTAGTCAGACCTGAGGAACTGAGAGAGATGTTAAACCAGCATTGATTCTGTTCAGAGAAAAGCAAATTGTTTTATAATTAAAGAGAATACCGAGAGTAGCGTGGGGTAGGACTTGGCACCAGGCAACAGCCACATGGTCCTGAGGTCAAACCATAGACAGTCCCCTCACCTCTCACCTGAGCAGTGTGTACACACATGGAGGCTTTCAGAGATGACTCCAAACATCAGAATGAGGAATTTACTGACACTTTGATAGAAAAATTCAGGAGAAAATGAAGGAATGATCTTGTTCAGCAGCGTGATGTGTCCTCTTCTACCCTGTACAGCCCTGCTATGATGCATCCAGGTTGGATGAAAAGATACCTCAATTATTTATTTTAATCCCTTGTATATGTATTTTAATTTGTTGTTTTACTAATATTATACCTGTATATTTATTTTAATCTCTTGAATACGTTTTAGGGGAATCTCAAGGATCCAGAGAAAAGCTGAACTTACCCAATAGAGTCTTCAAACCATAGAATCAATAAGGTTGGAAAAGACCTCCAAGATCATCAAGCCCGACTTTCAACCTGAAGTGATGTGTTTTTGTGCTTTGCTACTCCATTGCCTCAGAACATTTCCAAAAGCCCATTTTATATACCCTAAATGATGCAATTCCTCCAACTGTGCTTCAGAGGGACTGAAGAATTTGCAGACTGGCAGCTTTTACCATGGAATCCTTGAAAAAAAATGATTTAATTGAGTAAGTGTGTGCACACAGCACTGTAATTTGACTTTCACTGTACAGGCTGGGTGAGCTCTTGCCAGAAAGTATCAGCTGTCAGTGAGTATTGTTAGAACAACTCTAGTCAGGAATGGAGATAAAAAGGCAGCTTTGAAATGGTTTGGGGAGCAAGGCAAAGAAAGTTTCCTACTGAGTGTAACAGACAAACTAAATAGAACATCAGCTAAAAGGTGCAATTACAGGTTATTGAAGAGACATGTGCTGTTGACCTTACTATGATTTTTTCCCCCAGTATTCCATCTTTGCTGGCTTTGGCCCAAAAGTGCTCCCAGGCTCTGACACACGGATCTCCTCCTCCCTTCATGCTTTATGGTGGTTTTTAATGAGATCAAACCAGCCCCAATAAACCATAGGTGACTTCAGGGAAGCTGAGTGAGCTCAGCATTTGGGAAATCAAACAGCTATTTACTGGTTTTCGAAGTCACCTCGAGGCCATTTTCATGTGTATGTGTCACAGAGCAGCAGGTGTTCCCATGCCCAGCAGCCCTGTGAAAAGGGGATTTATGTTGGGTCAATATTTTAAAAAAACCCAACCCAACAGGAAATAAAAAGTGCTGGGAATCCTTGTTTAGCCCTGTCTTGGTATTTGCTCTGCTTCTGCTTCCTTGTATGTTAAATGAGGTCATAGCAAAGAAATATGGAGAAATTATTTTGTATTTAAGAAAAAGGTCTGTTATTTTTCTCAGTTTAGAAGCGACTTTTTAGGATGTATTCAAATGACTATTTATAACTGCAAGACTTTTCAAAACCTACCTTCTTCTCAGCCAGATACCTCCTCCTCTGCTGAGACAGGAATATGCATTCCCAGTGCCTCGAAATGTGGGATAAAACATTTTAGCTGAACCATTTCACAGAACACCTATTCTGATCTCCTGGTAGAAACCCACTCACAGAATTCTATATCGTGATAGAAAATAAAACCTAAAAGTCCAGAACTAATATGTGATAGATATGACTTCTCCAATCAGGTGGGGAGTGAGATCTCCATGGGAAAGAGTGACAGAAGGAAACATTTTTCATCTCAAAACTCCCTGAGTTTAATAAGCACCAGCTGGACCTCAGCATTCTGTCAGAGGAGATTTTTCTGGAGGAGCAAGTGCTGTCCTGCTTTTCTCTCCCTTGCTTTGTTTTCCTCCCTATTTTGCTGCAAAATTGATGCAAAAGAAATGGCAATGAACGAGGCAGGATGCAATTCCAAGCAATTACAGATCACACAATACATGAAAGGAACGAAATTTCCTGCCTTGATTGTGAGGCCCTTCGGCTGGATATGAATCTCCAATGACACCTCTGGGAGCTGCACACTAGATTATGTCAAGCATTAAGGGAAAAAAAATTAGATTCATGATGTCTGTCCAGGCTGAGTCATTTCCTCTCACTTCGCCTGCAGTGAGAAATTGGTGGTTATCATAAATCATGAACCTAAATTCTTATGAGAGAAGAATTAATTTCACTAATGGAAACCCTCTGTGGCAATAGCATTCCTCCAGTCTCTCTCTTTTTGGGGCGGGGGAGCTGTATCTATGATGTATTTAAAGTAGAGATACTTGACTATATTTTAAGAATTCTACAAAAGAAGACCTGAAAGGAAACTTAAAATGATTATGGGGTAAAAAAATCCTGTGTGTGACCAACTTCTAATTTCTGAGGGTGGCTCTCAGTCTGGTTCCTACCACAGCTACCTTTTCCACTGATATCAAATCCAGGTACAAAATTTCAGAGTACACCAGTCAAAATCAAACATCTAAACCCTCCATCTGGTTCAAGTATGATTTCCCCCACCTAACTGGAGTTGCCAGGCTGGAGATCCAGGCTTAGAAAATTTTTTTGTCTCTCTCCCCAGTCAGTGGAGATGAGTGAGAATGTCCAGATATTCACTTACTCAACCCAGCCTCGATGCTTTTTACTTTCAGCTGGAATGACTCACCATCCACAGGATCCCACAGGCTTCCCTGAGAGTAGGCACAACTTCAGGGCATCTGAAGTTTGATGAGGAGGATTGCACCCTAAGTGCCTGTGGGACATTTTGAAATAGAAGGACTCCTGATCCCTTCAAAAAAACTCAGGGGAAACTTTCTGTTCCATGTAGCAGCACTGAAATATATAAACCACCCATTCCATCTAAATAATTAAACAAACAAGCAAAAATTTGTACTAAACAAGTCCTAAGCACCACCTTGAAGTCTGGAGCTGACTGGAGGTAAGTGAAAGTACTCACGACTAAGCCCATGTATTTCGTGTATTCTGCTCAGTGGAAGCCCCAGTGGGGAATTAAGGGGCTGAAATGTTTTGCAAACTGGCAGGAACGAGGACAGAACTGCTACTGCATTTTTCAAAACACGACTGATGAGATATGAGGCCATATCTTGGCAAATCATGCACTGCCACAGAGCTCCCTGATCAAAGTCCCACTTTATCAAGACGTCAGTGTCAGCTGTGAGACCATGAAATGCTTCTCCTCCCACTGACCACATTTTTACAGACTCCAGAATGCTCTAAGTTTCCTTAATGCAGTGCAAGTACATTTGAGCTCAGCTGACTTTATGGGTAGAATACATTAAAAGCCCCTGAAATACTTTGAAGAGCTGTAGCTGAGCTACTTCTGAAACTGCAGTGGGGAAAGATATTCTGAGGGAAAAACTGAGTGAAAAATCCCTCCTGTGTATATTTTAGACACTCAGCTGCTAAGAAAGGACTGTCAGACAAAAGACTCCTTTCTCCTGATAAAATGACAGTCTTGATAAACAAACATCTGAGTCTCTACAGCACAGGTCCAGCTTTGCCTCACAGAAAATGGAAAGCTCAGTGGAAGAGGAGGAAAGATAAAGAAGGTTATAAGCGAACTCTTGCAGTTGGGATTTGAAAGGCTTTCAGTCCCAGTGTTTTCAGTAGTTTTGGGGTCTGGTCCAGCTTCCCACAGTCTTATTCCCAGCTGCTCTTCATGATTCAGCAGCCTTGAGCAGGTTTAGCTTTCACTGAGTGATGTCTACTTTCCCCATAGATCTGAAACACTCTTGATAAAAGATCTGGGAAAAAGCAGTAGGGCTATTCATACTAACTCTTCACACATCCAGTGTCAGAATTCCTATGGTGCTCCCTACAGCTTCACATCCCACCAAATCACAGAGCATATCTGATGGAAAGGTCCCTGCTCCCATGTGGTTGATCTCAGTGAAGTCTGGTCAGGTTGGTACTTTACAGCACAGTGCTCCAAGTTCTTTCAGCCCTGCTACAGTGGAAGTGAAAAATGTGGACCATTCTAAAGGAACCGAACCAAACGTGTTTTCAGATCATCTTTCAGAAAAAGCAAAATAAAACCAAACCTAAGAAACTAAGAAAAGGGTGATAAATCCTCCCAAAGCAAGGAGTTCTTGTCACTAGGTCAGAGCTGCTGATTTTGCAAAAGCTCCAAGAAGCTGGTTCTGGGTCTGCCCAAACCACTTGCACAAGTAGCTGTTTGCTCACAGGATACAAACACCCCATTATTTTTGTTGTCCCAGTCAGTGGCACAAGCCAAAGTCCATCCACATAAATGAACTGCAGGGTTAACTTACAAACACACATCCTGGAGGTATTTAAAAGGCATCAAACTCACAATTTGGGCTGTCCTTAGTTCCAAATGCACCCAATTTACTGCTCAGGAGCAGCTCTGCTTGTATGCAAACATTTATTATGAGAACTCTCTGAACTTACAATAGTCGAGGATGTGGACACAGTGTTACCATGCTCTATTACCTTTCAATTATTTTTATAGGAGTTTTATGAGACATTATGCAACGTTTTGAAGCAGCTCTTTTGAGCATAATTTAGTGACAAACACACCTGTAAGTTATGGCTACAATGCACCCTTGCTGTTAGCTGTAGCATCAATTATCTTGCTTTATGCATCATAAAATCGCCCCCCACAAGACATAATTAACATAATTAGGTCCTATCACCATAATTATACATACCTAGAATATTAACTAACATTTTCTTCGTGGATACAAATTCCACCTCTCAATCCATGTGCCTTTCACACATCTTTTGCAACAAATTAAGCATTTCTGACGGGACAGCTTTTGTCTTTCAGCAAAAGACGGCACCAAGAAAAAAAAAATAATCCCCCATTTGAATTCCTGTTTTTGCTGCACAACAACCTCCATTAGCAATACAGGCTGGGACATTCTAAAAAGACACTCAATCCTGTAACACTATCTTTGTTGTCAAAGCATGTCAAGCGGTGCAATGACTACAGGACCGGCTCTCCTTTCACCCTCCTACCTTTCAGACATGTCTCGCTGGTGCACAAAATCCTCACATCTTGCATAAGGCTATTTGTCTACAGCCAAAGCTTATCTTCCCATCTCTGCCCCTGCATAGGGAGGGAGTTCTCCAGCCTCTGGAGAGGGGTAACCTGCAAGGATCCTGGCTGGGGCTGGATGGATTCACTGTCTCCAAGGAAACGCTGTCACCTCGCAACGCAGTCACGTTAGGAGCTATTGTTACCAATCTCTTAAGTACATCAAACAAATTCCTGGGCTGATGGAGCTGGTATCAATGAACTGTCTTTCCAGAAGGTGCCTAAAGATAGGTTGGTGATACCTGTAGCAAGATACGTGATCATCCGGAACAATCTCTGGTCTGCTCACTCCGGCGGCTTCACTTTCCTGAATCGCTTTCACAGTTTTGCCCACTTGAAGTTAATATTCTCTTTGCCTAAAAGACTTCCTGCTTCATTAATGGCTTGTTAAATGCCTTATTAATTTATCAAAGAACTTTGGATGAAAAGAAACTACTTAAAGAGCCTCGTGTTTTATGTAACGTTCATGAAAGTTCTTCATGGGCACCTCTTCAATCTGTTGAGGGTTCTTGCCTTGTTTGAACCTGCTCGGCCATTTTAGAAACAACCTTCCAGGCTTCTTTCTTCGAGTTTGCAGCTGAGAACGAAAACAAGAGACTCTTCTCTTGGTGGGAACCAACAGGTCAGTTTTGTGTCTGTTTTTATGTTGTGTTTTTCTCAAAACATCGAAGATGTAGGTTCTGAGAGCCAGTCCGGGGAAGCTATTCCCTTAAAAACATGTTTGGTGTGATGTTTGTTTGGCTCACCCAGACAAAGTGCAGATGCTGGCAGGGTGCCACTGATGGAATTGCAGCCCAGTGTTGTTCTGGGCACTGGTTAGCTCCTGCTGAAGTTTACAGATGGCTTTTAAACTCCAGCAGCTGTTACGGGAACCAGGTTTCGGTGTAAGGTTATAATGGAGCACTCAATCACGCCCTATTGATCGGCATCTCCCACACCACGGGCACAACTCCTGCCTCACTTGAGCTCCTGGGCTCAGCACTGAAAGAAGAGGGATAAATAAGTTAAAATCAATGTGGAAAAAAGTACACAATCCGTTCTGCCCGGGGATATTCATCTGGAAACACCATATAGTCAAAACCTCGGTGGTTCTGACTTCCTACTTTTCAATTTCTTCACGAAAGAATTATTCCTTATTCTCTCTTTCCCTCATAATTCCCTTTTCTCTTCTTGGTTGTTGCAAAGGCTGATCAATAAAAGATTTTTCTGTGCAGAAAGGCATGTGCTTTCCTCAGCAGTGACTGGAGGCTCCAAAACATTCCCTCAGAAATTCTGCTGGCAAACTTCGCCGCGCCAGTAAAGTAGAGGAGAATAATGGTTATTAGAAACTTTCAGCTCCTGTGGAAAGGTATTTTGTGGTTCCAAATGTTGAATTGACAGATGGTTATGTGAAATTTAACAAAGTAGTCATTTCACACAGGTTTCATTAAAATTTTATGTGGTAAGAGCTGAGTTTATTACAGGGTGGGCAGAGAATGGAGTATTAGGGATTCATCAGGTCACTTGAATGTATCCTTTCTCTACCTGCTAAGAATAAAAAAATTAATATCTAAATCAAACAAGACTGTAATTTGGGGCCTTTCTACTTACCATTTTTCCTCTCTGTACAAAATGAAAGGTATTGGTTCTCATCAGGGCTTAATGGCCTTCAGATCTTCTGTGGCAAATGCAATCCTCATAAAGCCCATGAAAAATTATCTCTGTGCTATTGCAGAGAAATGACATATTTTACATGGTGGCGGCCTTTCCATTATAAACACTATTTTTCAGATCTTTACAACCTGCCCATAAAAATGTGCTTCTGACAGGAAATGCAGCAGCATGCCCCAACTCTGCAAGAAAGAGGTTTTTTCCCACTTTATCCAATTTTGGCCAGTAATTTTGTCTCTGAAATGGCTGAGCAGGCCAAATGCAGGGTGGGCATCAGTCTCAACCACGTGTCTCTCACATTTACATTTGATCAGATGCTTCCCTGGATGTCCTGCAGGTGCATGAAATATGTATGAACTGGCCAGAATAGGGCTCATCCTGAGGTCTGACTAATGACAGGAACAATTCCAATTATTCTGACTGCTGTAGGCCACAAGAGGCCCTGTTGTTCTGGGCACCACAGAATGCCAGGAAAACAGAGTTTGCTCCAGAGAGTTTGTGCTTTAATTGAACAGAGCAGACAGACAAAGAGTAGGAAGAAAGGAAATAATATTATCCCGCCTCCTTTTATACAGAAATAACTGAAATGCTCAGACCATGAGACACTGGCACTGTGGCAATAGCCAGCAAAAATTCTGTTCCTGTGACCAGGGTCAGCATTCCCACAGCATTCACAGAGCCTGGCTTGGTTAAGATCAGACTAGATGAACAGTCTGGCTTTAAAGTCTGCATTTAAACAGCTGAGTTTCTCTGAGCTGACATTTCGTTAATCATCATTAAAGAACACTTAAAAATCACTTCTGGATGATAACATTTTACTGAATCAGAGATGCAGTAGCTTGTAAAGATTAGTTTGTTGGTGCAATTTCGTGTTCTTTATGTAAAATACTTAATTTACTTAGGTGATATCAAACCATTAAGTAAAATCAGATCTAAAAGTTTAATAACATTTTAACAGCAGCAGAAACTGAATTTCTCTGTTGATCTTACCTGGTTTGACCATATCCAGGAATCCGTGGTATTGGAGTTGGATCAACCAGTTACAGAGAGAATTTCTTTGACTATTTCTTAAGTATGATCTGCATGGACAGTCACAGCAAGCACTGGAAAAGGAACACAGTATTAAATGCACAGATGCTCATCTGTGCCTGGGCAGAGAAGCAGGCACAACTTGCACAAACCAACTGGACATTTTGCTGAGTTACCCAGGCAACACATTTCTTTCTGTCCTGCCCGTTCAGGATTCCACTCAACTATTCGACTCCCTCTGGCAGGACTTGGAGAGCATTCCCAGGGAAAAGCCAAATACAACAGGACAAAGCCTTGGAGAGAAGGAGAGCAGAGTTAGTGAAACTTTTCATCAGGGTCACCAGACAAAAAGGAATCAACAACAAGGCACATAAATTATTGAAGTGAAAACTATATATGTCTGGTTTTGTAAGGTGTTACAAACCCAGGGATTCCAAGAGGGTTGGAGGGGCTGTAACCAAGCAACAAGTACTGAAATTTGGTTCTCTCTTCTGGAAAAACAGCAGGCTTGCAAGTCATAGTGACAATGTCTGGCACTAAAAACTGAGCCTGTCCTTGATTTTACAGTCCTTGGATCAAGCCATAGGAAGAGATGTTTATGGAACGGGGAAAGGAATTTTTATTTGGTTTAGGAGACTTATTTCAGTATCAAATCAGAATTTTCTAACCAAATGTAGGTCAACAATTTCTGGATGGGTTGGATTTTATCTGACACTACAGAAAGATCACTTATAAGTAACGTTTTAAGATTTTTTTAAAAAGTTTCTTTTCAAAAAAATATTGGCCTTAACTTTCCTTTTCTTGCATTTGGCAACTTGAAAGAGAAAACCTAATCATACCCCAAGTGCAGTGGGTAGCAGGCAGCACCCCTGTGGATTGACAAGCTGTAATGATTTCTCCCATTCTATACCTCACTGAGATTTATTTTCCCTCTAACCTTAAAATATGGCTTGTTATATTGAATGAATTTATTGCATCCTAATGCACAGATGCACATGAGGTCATGCTTAACCTTGTACCCTCACAAGTAATGCCACTGAATTCAGCTGGAGCAGAATCCAACCTGTATGTGCACATGGAAAAATCCCAAAGGTACCTGCCAGATATCTGCCAGACTTCTCACAAGAGATTGAACTGAGTGTTCCTTCATCCAAGTCATGCTTTAGAACTCTCTGAAAGTGATGGACAAAGTCCCCTCCATTTTAATGAGTTTGCTGTCAGTCTCCACTTGTCCAGGTGCCAATTCTGTCTAACCCCCAAAATTTAAAACACTTCATCCAAAGCTGCCAAAACAAACAAGATCAGGCATTTGATGGAGAACTCTGGTATGAGGTCAGCCTCATTTCCTCCATCCACATCCTTATTATGAATCTCATGTTTCATCTTAATTGTTAGCAATTCCCAATGGAATACAACATTCATTAAGTACTTCCTAATTTATCAAACATAGGTTTCATCAGGTAATTTTAATCATATGAAAATCATTCTGAATTCATTTTGATGTACAATTTCCTGTTGAAACCTCATGAGCCTCCTTTCCCCCTGTGTTGTTGGAAGCAACATCTCTGGTTATTCTCCTCTTTAACTTCCATCATTGCAAATGCCACAATATTTCCACAATTTTTTGCATTTATTTATGAAACTGCTGCCAACTGCTGAAGAGTTATGTCTCCTCTTTTTGTGGAGAATTGATGACCTGGATTACATTGGAAAAATTGTTTCACTTCATCCATCAAAATCCTCCCTTCCCGAAACTCAGATCTTGCAAATATGGGAATACTTGGGAGTCACCAGAGCACTTCTTTATTAGAGTGGCTTTACCAAGTTGTCATATGTCTGATATTTGAGAGAAATAAGCATAATCTCTTTAAGTATGGAACAGGAAAACTACTCCATTGCTGGGCCAAGGTGGTAAAAATGACCCAGCTCTAAATAAGCTAAGAAAGGAGGGAAAGAGCAGGAAAACATGGAAAAGCAATGCAGTTGAACAATAAACATAATTCAGTTGTTTAAAATTCAGAGATGCCTGTCCCCATTCCAATCAAAGAAGGAACTGAGAGCTCTGAATGTGTATTTACAGGCAGAACTTGTTCCTGACATCTCTGATTTTTTTATCCCTATTCTTTCCCCAGCTCTTATTGCCAAAAAAAATTAGGTTTGAATGAATGCCTTGTTATTCACTGTCTGCAAGGATAATAAAGATGTTCTCTAGCTGAGAGCAGAAAGCAAGGCCTCCTGTGATCATGGGGAAAAGAAGAGAGAAGCATTATGAGGAGAATCAACTGTTTTTATTAAAGGTGTTGTGTTCCTGCAGCTTTTGTGAGGAAATCCAAATAATTTGCTCCCACTTGCTTTCATTTGGA